AATAAAACAATAACAGTGGCTTCAATGATATAGAAGAATGAGCATGGATAATGGCCCCATTCTGCCTAGACAGAAACAAGAAAAACATTCCCTTTTCTCTTCTTTAAAACCAATTCTTGAGTCATGCACGGAAACATGTATTACCCAACGTGACCAGTTAGTGGATTTTATTTAGAAAATCAATGGGTGATGGAAATTTAGAAGATGCACTTGTCATTTGTAAAACTGCAGATGAAAATTTAAAAGATGATGTTATACCACTGTTTCTTCACTGCCCTCATCAGTGGCTCTATCTCACCCCCTGCTGTTCTCATAACTAAAATAGAAATAGTTTCATGAACAAAATAGGATGATTTTCTAGGTGCGTATTTGGTATTAACTTAATTTCCTATTCACATTCCAGATATTACTGCCTGCTCTTATGAAATAGTTTACTCCACCATAAAGGTACATTTTGAATGATCACCATATTTTTTGGAATACATTAATATGTCTAAAAATAGGTATTTAATCATCTATCATTCTGCTGTGAAGCTCTTTAATGTTTTCTTTCTTTGGCAAATAAATCAGAACGCCATACTGGTTTCCAAGCAGACATAAGCTGGCGATGACTTTTTTGTACAAAAGTCACTGATGAAAAGCTCATAGAGGCATTTGGATTTCTTCAGGGCTGTAAATCCAGATATGTTACTACTTTATCTTACTGGACATTGCGGTAATGCAGGAGATAGGAAAGCATGATGCTAAATCAACTGGTGACCCCAAATCATTTTCCATGGTGTTGGTACATGCACAGTCAATATTACTGGCATCATTCCCAGCCTTTCCGCTATGCTGTCTCAAGTTTGAACATATTGTAAATGCTTTTTAAATGACTAACTGACGTGACATAATCAAATTACTTAGGATTTTATTTACTGTGCTCAGAGTAATTCAATTATGACCTTGCAAGGTGTTTAATAGACAATCAGGAAGTTGCTACAAATTCAACTTTGGGCTGGACAAGTCCATTTGAGGATACCACCACCTCCAAATTAACAAACAATTCCAGAAACTGGGCTCAGTATCTTGCTCCAAACACAAGCATCACTCACCACTATAAAAACAGCAAGTAGAATCTTTTTACTTCTTTTGTGTTTCTGGTCTCAGTAAACTGCACTACAGTCTACCAAGTTGCCCAAGCCAGAAACCTTCAGGTCAGGCTGCATTTGCCTGAGACATCAGGTGAAAGAGCAACCACTGGGAAATCCTAAGGTATTCTTAATACCCTAATGTCTTTGGATCTCCTAAGGTATTCTTAATACCCTAATGTCTTTGGATCTATGCAGTGTCTCACATTCATGCCCATCACCTAATTCAGGAATCTGTCGGGATCCTGCACCAGCCTCTTAGACCCCTCACTCTTCTCAGTCTGGCCAGAGTAACTGTTACAAAATATAAACTGGGGCATATAAATCCTCTGCTCACAAACCTTTCATTCAGAACCTACCGACCCCAGGGTAAAACTGAAGCTGGTTGATGCTGTGTTAAAAATCCTCACGATGGGGCCCTTGTTTATTTTTCAGTCTCATTTCTTACTATTCCTTTTATTCACGTCATGCTCCAGAAACAAGAATTACTTGCAGTTCCCTGACTACACCATTCTACCCTTCTCCCTCTGACCTGCATTCTCTTATATACTTTCCACTTTGCTTAGATGCTTCCAATCCAATCCTGCAAATGCTTTGGCCTTCTCAGTTTTGTCCTTGGGGCTTCAGCTTTGGACTCATTTCCTTCAAGAATCTTCCCTTTAAGGGCAGGTTAGGTTTCTCTGCAAGTGACTCACCGTGCTCCTGTGTTTATCCCCTTCTAACACCCTTCATTCGTTATCTTAAGAATCACCCCCATTGAAAAGCATGAGAACCTTAGGAGTCAGGACTGTGATGAGTTTAGGGTTGGCACTACTCTGCTGTGTTCTGTGGAGGCTGATTTACTTGGCAGTCCCTCTGCCTTTCCCAGTACACTTTCAATTTGCGTATTTTCACTGAAGGCTCACCTGAAAACTAAAATGGCAACATCATAGCAGACATGAGGCATAAGAATCTAAGCTTTCATGACTACTAAGGACAATGCTTTGCCCTTCAGCCATAGAGACACTATCCTGGCAAGCTACAATCAAAAGCCATTTAGTTGGGACGGAAAATTATCATCTGGCTTGTACAGAGTTATATGCATTGTCACAGATTCCTTAGCATATTAAGTTTGAAGATTTTTCTAACTGTGTGCTAACATAGAACTGGAAGGTTCTGTGGATGAAGGAAAAGCTAAGGAATAATGGCTACTATTTCTATTGAACCTGGGCACAATGAACATTTTCCCCTCAAGGCTCTGAGAGAGTATCTTTGTTGACTACAGTATATCCCAAAAATTGACTCCAGCCCAGTCAAATGTAGAATGATTTGAGTAGTGACCTGTGCATTAGAACACATACATGCTTTGCCAGAATTACATCCAATAACTTTCAAAGAATATACACAACCATGCAGAGACGTTAAATAATGGTTATTGTCTGGGTGCAGTGATTCACACCTGTAATCCCAGCACTTTGAGAGTCTGAGGCAGGAGGATCGCTTGAGTCCAGGAGTTCAAGGTTACAGCGAGCAATGATGGCACCACTGCACTCCAGCCTGGACAACAAAGCAAGACCCTGGATCAAAAAAATAAATGGTTATTGTTTGCTAACTAAATAATATCCTACCCTTCAAAAACAGTTTTGTTTCAGGGACTCAGAATCACGAACCACACAGTTTGCAGAGAGATCTGATTTTTACACGTATTTTTGTGTGTGGCTTTAAGTACTTTAAGTCAATTAAACCTACTAACATTGCACACTTTTTCTTTTATGAAAGGGTAAAAGGGAGCATAAAGGAGGCAATCACTGATTCATTGTAAACGTTTTTATCCAGATGATCATTCTCAGATCATGTATGATCGTCTTTTCAATTACAGTCTTTGCTTATTGCCATCCTTTTTTCAATTACAACTTTGCTTATTGCCATCCTTGCTCTTTATTTTCATAAATTATTAGGCCAGCAAACAAGCACTTCAACTAAGGTGTAAAAACTCACACAGTTCCTGTGTATGTTTTCTTCCCTCCTTTTCCTTTTCAAATCTACCTTGATCATTTATTTAACTTTCATTTATTTATTTTTAGAAACAAGGCCTTGCTCTGTCACCCAGGCTTAGAGTGCAGTGGCGTGATCACAGCTCGCTGCAGCCTCCACCTCCCAGGCTCAAGTGATCCTCCTGTCTTGGCACCATAAGTAGCTGGGACTACAGGCACACACTATTACATCTGGTTATTTAAAAAAAAGAGGGAGAGAGACAGGGTCTCTCTACATTGTCCAGGCTGGTCTTGAACTCTTCGACTCAAGTGATCCTCCCACTGGCCTTCCAAAGTGCTGGGATTACAGGCATGAGCCACCACACATGGCCCTCTACCACTTTAAATCTCCTTAATTCTAGATCATGCTCATGTAAGTGTTTTTCTATGGTCTACACATTGCAAAGGATGAATCAACAACACAGAAAATAAATGTGTATCATGTTAGATTAATCTAAGAACTAAGTATTTTTTATTAGTAAAGAAGGAAAATGCTAGAAGTGTTGGGGAAGCAGGTGCAATTTCAGAAAGGAGGACCTTTACAGCAAAAAGGTGTTCTTTAAGAACTGAAGAAATCCAGGGCATAGGTGATGCAGAGATCTGGGTGAAAACCTTTTCAACAAGTGCAAAGGCCCTGCAGCAGGTGGGTAGGTGCAGGTATGTGCCAAACACAGAGGTGCCAGTTTGGCAGTGAGTTGTGAGCCAGAGGAGGGAAAAGCTCACCAGGGATGGTGCCTGTGGGTCTTACAGGCCATTGCAAAGGTCACTGGTGTTTGTGCCAAGCAAGCTGGAAAGGTTTCCAAGCTGGAGAGACATCCTATGGATGGTTTCCAAGAAGAGGAGGGACATCCTCTGATGCACAGTATGGTTCTGGTTAGTGTGATAAGATACAGTGAAAGGGCGTGAGGGCCAAGAAAGGGAGACTAAGCGAGAGGCTGATGTACTTATCTAGGTGAGAAAGGATCCGGGTTCCAGCTGGGGTGGTAGTCATGTGAAAGGTGAGAAGGGGCCAATGCAAAAGCATAAGCTCAGATTTGGACACATTGATTTGAGAGGTCCTTTCTTCCAAGCAGGTCTATAAATAGGCAAACAGGATACATTTGTTTGGGGTTCACTGGAGAGCTGGGATATGTACTATTTAGTCTTTCTCACAAATTTAATTTCATTGTCAACTGGATATAAGAGAAAAGAAAGGAACTTTATATATTAAATTAATTTTAAACATTTTCATTGTTTTTCTGTAAACCAGAATTGATTTTTGGATGGTATAAGGCTTACTAGAATGTTGCCACATAACTCCACTTAAATCTCATTAATTTGGAGGCTGACATTTTTAAAACTTGTGAATGAGGAGAGGTTGATCTGAAATTTGCATTTGGTTTACATGTGAACAACAGATTTGCAAATAAATAAACTCTATACACCAGACAATAAAGGAACTATTAAGTCTGTTACAGAAAACTACCTTTTTATCCTCTTGGAAGATACTTAAAAACTATGTCCCACATTCACCTGAAGTAGATACTTGCTTGGAATATTCTAATAGGTCTAAATAGTCTAATTACTTTATCATTAGTGCTTATAGCTACATTATGCATTATACTTACTTGATATAGCTACCTGTGTGTAAAAAATTATGCAACCGACATTTTTTCAGTAAAGTAGCCCACTTTCAGTCGTAATTAGTGACGTTTTACTGTGTTACATCTCATTTCGCCTTAACTGAAAACTATGCAACTGAGGCACAAAAAAGAAAAGTTATGAAGACCAGAAACCTCAATACAAATTTCACATGATTCAGAACAAAGCTACGTAAACATACAAAAACTCTACAACATGGGAGGGTGAAGGAAATGAAAACATTTGCAAAGGTATTTATTGAGAAATAGTAAAGATATACATATTTTTACAAGCTTTTAATATTAATTTACATTTCTTTAAATTATGTAGGCCCCAATAATCTATACTTTACTAATATATAACAGAAACCCTTGACATTTCAAGCTGTCCATAATGCTACCGTAGTTGGGAGTCAAAATGCAACTTTGGCTCATGATGCTTCAGTTTGTTTTCAAAAGAAATACTAAACGCCATATTCACTGAGAATGCAGGCCTGTCATAAACAAATGTGCTTTAAAAAAACAGTTTCATACAGGAGCATGCTGTTGACACTATTCTCAATGTTAGCTCATCACAGACTAAGGAGAAAACATTTTTAAAGACAGTTATTACCTATTTTTTGTGTGCAAACTGCATGATTCTAAATATGTTTTTGTCTCTGAATTTGATTTACACATTTTTGCAGGGGCATAGTGTCCTAATTGTATGCTATAATTCTGTAGCCAGGCCACCTATTTTGCTACTGAAATCACGTGGTTTTGATATTTTTAAGGTGCAACACGAGGTGGTTATCGTTTCTGGTAACATACCAAGCTTGTATACGTAACAGCCAAAAACCCACTTTACTTACAGAACATTTTTTCAAACTGGTTTACAGTAAGGCACAATATTCCGTATGTAAATAGGAGGTGAGAACTGCCAAGGGGTTGTTTTTGTGTTTGTTAGTTCGGTTTTCATTTTTCAGATTAGAAAGGAAGAGGATTTTCTGTTCGTAAGGTGGGAAGGGAAGAGTTCTAGTTTGCGCAAAGTCCCGTGGCCAAGCTGTGATGCTGGCTAGTGGGCCTGTAACACTGTTGTGCCAGGCAAGCTGTTGTTCGTCAGTCTAGCATTTATGTTTTATGCTGTCAGCCTTTTCTGAACACAGAATCAGAAAAAGAGATGTGTGTGAGAAACAGCATGGGGTGATGCAACCAGCCAGCTTCTCTTTGCTCTTCCATGGGTGTTTCTTTCTGCACCTGCAAATTTAGCAGCATAAAAAGCCTTGCTTGTTTGATATAAAAAGACTTAACAAATTTAGATGTAATGCCACAGTTCTATCATTTAAAGAAACCTGCTGGCTGGGCACGGTGGCTCACGCCTATAATCCCAGCACTTGGGGAGGCCGAGGCGGGCAGATCATGAGGTCAAGAGATCGAGACCATCCTGGCCATGGTGAAACCCCATCTCTACTTAAAATACAAAAATTGGCCGGGCGTGGTGGCATGCACCTGTGGTCCCAGCTACTCGGGAGCCTGATGTGGGAGAATCGCTTGAACCTAGGAGGTGGAGGTTGCAGTGAGCCGAGACTGCACCACTGCACTCCAGCCTGGTGACAGAGCAAGACTCCATCTCAAGAAAGAAAGGAAAGAAAGAAGGAAGGAAGGAAGGAAGGAAGGAAGGAAGGAAGGAAGGAAGGAAGGAAGGAAGGAAAAAGAGAAAGAAAGAAACAGGCTGTACAGTAAAGATGATTTGTTTTTATTCACAGTAATAAATATTTAAGGATTTGATGCACAAAATAATTAAGTACTGATAGATAATCAAGGCAACACGTAAATTTTTTTAACTGCTATTTTCGAGCTAGAGGCCAACAGATGTGTAAAATTTATCATTATTTTTATATTATTGAAAGTATTCCAACTTCAATTTGCCTGGAATAGTACTTGGGGCAGAGGCAGCCAAAACCTACAAAATTTTAAGGATAAGTTTAAGGTTTAGATGATGAAATCACAATCTTGTGCAAAATTGGAATCTCAATATCTTTCTGCCCAATATAAACATGGCCTTAGCATTCAGTAAAGAAATACAGGTTTGTAGCCTGAAGAAATGAAATCATATTTCCACAGTGAATGTTGTGATCTGTGAGCAAACTGTAGACTTTATTGAAGCCTCAGAGGCCTCAGGTGATGAACTCATGAACCAGCCTCTGGCTAGGGGCACTGACGAGTAGCCTGACTCCGGGATCCACATTATGATATTTTAAACACAGAACTGCAGGTGCAGACACCATTAAAATACTCTAGTTCTTAAAGTCTTAAATTTCCACAAGGGAAATCATGTCATAGGAAATAAGAGGAGAACCTGTATCATGTTCCCAACATGGGCTACACACAAGGAAAAAAAAACCATGCAAACACAGTGATGACAGGTTCTTCTGGTAATGAATGCCATCCATTGCGCAGTAATGATACAGGCAGAAACTAACAAATGCAAGTCTGTCATAAAGAAAACCTGCATTGATGTATTCAGATGGAGAACCAGGTACTATTTTACTGTTGTCATTTCAGTGATGCTGCCAAGATCAAGCTCACTTGCTAATTTAATTTATGATGATATTCTAGGTAAAATTTTCATAGACTCATTGCTTTCATTAGACACCATCTGGGAGATCTGCCTTCCATTACTGATATTAACATTTTTGCAATTACATTGGAAATAAAAACATTTAAGCCATGTTCACTCAATGTGAAATTGATGCCATGTCCATGGCATATTCTAAAAACGTTTATGTGATAATTGCTCATGATATGCATGATATCTTCCTCTATGCAACTTACACATATCAAAAGTCTCAACCTCAAAACTGTGCAAGTTGTCATGAATATGGCTCTTAGTTTTCTCCAGCAAAACTGTAGAAGGGGTATTGAGACTTCTACATACATTTCACTTTCTAAGTAAAGGTCCCACAGTCTTTCCCAAACCTCTGCTTATGGTTGGATGCACAAATAGTTGCCTCATACAATTATTGGAATTATTAAGAACCCAAATAAAACAGAAGCTTTCCTTTATTATTGTTGTTTTCTCATTGCAACAAGTACTCAGTTTCTTGCCGATGCGGCTTTGAGAGCCTGACTTTTAAATTTGGTCATGTTAAGAATAATCACAAAGGTTTTTGTCTTTCATTATCTACAGAGATTTTAACCAAAGTTACATTGTAACACACAAATGCTGTCTTGTCTTTAAGGCACAACACATCAGTATGAACATTCTGTTTGCCAAACTTAAAAAAGAGACAATATTATATTCCCATTTCCCCTCCCACTCCCCTCCCCGCCAAATGAAAGAAAAATTGCATCCACTTTGAAAGTCAGCTGCTAATAAAGTCACAGTAAATTATTTTCATCAATAATTTACACAAATTACAGGTCTAGATAGGACTGTCCTTCTACAGTCTGAGTGCATTCCAATTCAGATTTTCTGGGCTAGGTAGGCTAAAGTCAGATTCAAACCTCAGGGCTGAGAAAATCTCTCATTTTGAGGAATGTCGTTGACCACCTTGTCAGACGGAGCACGTGTGTTGCTGCTTTGCCAGGGTGAGAGTTCTTTGATAAAGCTGCTCATTCCAGTTTGGACTCATTTGGTGTGTACCAGCAACCTCCACAGATTTTTTTTAAAACCCATTAAAGTGTTGTAAATATAAGACCATAGAGTTTCTTTTCTGTAGCACTAAAGTTTAACTCCATTCAGCAATCTGAATTCTTCATTCTGGAATTTTTATTCCAAATATGATTTCATCCATTAAGACAATTTATATGTGTAGCGCCAGAGGCAGTGAATCACACATAAAAATTCAGTGTACTTGAAATATAAAAAACGGATCTCCGGCTACAGAACACAGTTACAAATACTCTAATTCCAGTGCTTGGTGGAGAGCCAGGAGGTCTGAGTGACTGGATATCCTCCAGAAGGGCATGTTGTGCTACGTGGTTAGGAGAAGGAGGGATGGGAGAGAGAAGGAGAAGGAATGAGGCATGGAGAGAGATCACAACCATTGTCTCAATGAAGCAGCAGCACACACAGGGATGTGTGGTCCACCAAGTTCAGGGCAGGGAGTTTAAAGGTGGGATGATCATATGTGAAGGCTTGGCAGCACCAATATGGCACTGTCAAAGTAACAGAGAAATAGATCTGAGCTGGATTTTAGTGAGCATAATAGCAAATACTAACATACTAATATTTTCTTAGGCAGTTTAATATTTATTCTGTAAGTATCATTACCAACATCAACATCTCGGAAAGCAAGTGGGCATCAAAAAACTACCTGGCTGATGGAAAGCAAGTTTTAAATCAGTGCATCAAACTTACAGGCCTATCTCTCAGTTAAAAATAAAATAAAATGATAAACTTCTTAATTTTGTTCATCTAGAAAGAAAAGAGGATGAATTCCTTTCTGTATAAAAATAATTTGAAGCAGGACTATATAAAGTAGAAAAAATGTGGGGATGATAATTTTATTACTTGTCTAGGAAAGCCAATAACTTAAGCCAGTAGAGTTGACTTGATTTATTTCACTGACATAGAGTTGAGAGAAGGTACTCTAGCATGCATTTTCAATGGGAAGATATCATCCCCAAGGGGACAAAAATGAGTTCTTGCAGGGTAGAAATCTTAGACATTACAATGGTTTGTGATCCTCCAAAGATACACTATAATAGTATACAGTACATCTGTGGTATTACAACTTCATGAAAAGGAGTAATTAGAAAATAAAAGTCTAAAGAGGCCCCACTGGTGATGACAATGAAAAAAGAAAAAACCACGCACTACAGAAACTGACAAAACAAAAGCATGATTTGTAAGTTTGGGCTGATGACATCTTCTAGAATATGTATGTAGAAAATATCTATTCGTATTGTCTGCGGGGAATGAGTATATAGATATAAAACATGCAAAAGACATTTTATTTAGGAATTAAGTAGCATAATAATCCTTATTTTATGTAATTCCTTGCTACACAGTATGGTAGCCACCAGCCAATTGTGGCAATTGGTCACTTGAAATGTGGTTAGTCCAGTTTAAAATACACACTGAATTTTAAAGACTTACAACAACATAAAAGAATATAAATGTGACTTCAATAACTTTTATATTAATTAGATGTCAAGACAATTATTTGGATATACTGGGTAGACATGTTATTAAATTTAATTCTACCTGTCTCTTTAATTTTTTAAAATGTGGCTTCTAGAAAATGTCAAAAACTACATATGCAGGTTGTATTAATATTATATGTTTCTATAGAAGAGCGCAATTAGACATTCTTATTCCTAAACGTTGATATTTTTTCTTAAATTTCTCAAACAAAATATATCTAGGTCAAATTAAAGCATAGGAATTCACATACAAGTACCATTTATTTTCATTCAGCTCAGATCTATTTGTAACAACAAAACAGTACTTAACATTTCTGCACATGCGATTACTGCTACATCCAAAGAAATGCATGCATTCTGGGTACTAGAGAAACCAACCACCTGTGCTTTAAAATAGAATAATAAGCCTTTACCATCACCAAAACTGTGCCTACACAAACAACCATTTGGAAATAGCATTCTATCTGAGATTCTTTTCCATTCAGGGCCATGCCCTTCCCTCCTGAAGTTTTAAGTATAAAGTAAGTAGACGGTGTAACAACTGGTAAACTGAATCGAAACATTAATGCTGTGGAAAACGGGTAAACTCAGTTAAGCTTTAATTGTCAAAGGCATGTATCTTCATTGGTTTGGAAAAGTGAATTATACATGAATTTAATTGGTATAGGCTAAAAGACATGTAAATTTAGCTGGAGCAGGGCTGTATCACTAATCATTGGCTGCTCTTTGCTGTGTATAACTATGGTGCCAATAGGAAAAATCATAACATGGACTCAGGACATTGACAAACTCCAGAAGACATTTCATTTGAGTGTGACTGGAAGCATTGCAAGTGGTAGTCAGCAATGAAAGCTGTATTTCTTGAGGCTGCAGTCCTGACCTCATACAGGATGTGCTCGGGGCCAGTGTGCTTGCTGTCTTGGGTCATTGACACTGCTAATGAAGGCTGAGGTGTTCTGTGGGAGGCAGAGCCTGAACCCATTCTCTCAAAGATAATCGAAAAGCATGGAGATTTTCAAGTATGGCTACAAATACTGGCACCAAATCTTCTAAAGTGGAAGTGCTTTCCTTTTCTCCATTTTGCTTGATTTAAATCAACTAGAAACATACATCATTTCCTTTCTCTTTCTCTTATAGCTGTAAACTTTTCTATAAAACTGTTTATGTTGACTGTTTTTTGAAAACAGGTAAACACTCCAGCACGTGCAACGAGTGAAGGCTTTATTAGATGATGGTTTAAAATCTCCTTAGGGTAATAAAGAATAATATTTTTTCTATGTAAAACAATGTAAGCTGGTATGTCATTGTTAAAAAATACTAATTCATCTGGCTTTGTTTTGCAAATCTATCACTTTTATCTTGGCTAGATGATATTTTTCTATCATTCATTGAAGGCGGCAGTAAATCTTAGTGTGGAGTTGACTGATAGCCTGGTGTTGGGGGCCAATCTTGATATCATTCTTTTGATGATGAACCAACCATTTAATGGTTTTTAATTGCCTTGGTTTCTTCTTCAGAAATATGGGCCAAATCAAAAGGCTTATTAAAACACTTAAGGCCTGTGAGATCTGAATGTGTTCAAAGCCAGCTGCTGGGCTTCAATCAAGTACCACTGGCTCACCAAAACAGATAAAGAAGCACTTTTAGGAGATGCAAGGCACATTACCGATAAGACAATTGGTGCAAAAGGATCTGAGCAACACATTCCATTTCAGTAATGCTGATTCAAATCTCTTGTAGCAGTTTTTCTTCAGCTATTTAATCTACCCTCCGCATTCCTTATCATGGAGCATGCTACTTCCAGGCACTCACAATGACCATATGGTATGCAGGTTTCATGAACTACTCACATGACTTTTGTATGGAGCTCATTAATCTTTATCTTGCTAAATTTCATGTACTTAGCAATGGTTACTCTCCCCCCATCTTTCTTGCAGATCCCCTGGTTCATCTATGTCTGTGCACATTGTATGTGTGTATATATATATATATGTGTGTGTGTGTGTGTGTGTGTGTGTGTGTGCATATATATACACATGCCCACACAAATATATATATTACTATATATATATTTACTCTATGTATATACATCCAAACACATAAATACATATAACTAAATTTCTCTGCATTTCCTATCATCAGGCAAAAAATGCTAAACTCCAAATGGTTTATTTGAATGTAAGTATTGATCCTCTCATGCTCTTACTGCTTTGCATCTATAAATTTAAATCATTTGTCAAGCTGCCATTGGGCCAAACTACAGAAATGCAAACAAAAAGGCTTGCATTAGAAGTATCACACCAACATTGTTTGAGACAGGTTACCTTTTTTGCTGCCTGTTCTTCTTCTACACCATCCCCAATTACAACATACACTACTTTTCTGCCAAACCTTTGCATTATTCGTTCAAAGCAACTTTCTTTTCCTGGAAGATAAATGAGATAAAGTTCAGAGTGAAGTTACCTGGTTAGCGGCATGCTCCTCATCTCGGCCATCTCCAATCACAACATAAGTTATGTTAGTGCCAAATCTGGACACTATACGCTCAAAACAGCTTTCCTTGCCTGAAAAACAATGCACTGCTTATTCTTCCAGACATTGCATTCATTAACTGAAAGATTCATAAAGTGTTAATTTAATGCCTCTTGAACATCACTTGAACTAGCTCACAACCTCTGGGTTTATGAAATCAACACATATTTGAATAACGTAAGGCATTACTTAGGACAGATGATTAAACAAATGTGTTTCATACTCCAAATACATCACTAGGGTTAAGCATTTGACCTAGAGAAAATATTAGCATATTTTTCTCTACGAACAGAGTATTGGGGCAACTTTACAGGCAACTGTAAGTTTTAACAATCTTTGTTTAATTCTAAAAATCAAGTTTAAGTAGCATAGACATGTCAGCTACATACGTTCTAGTGAAAAACTGAAGGTTCACCTCAGAAATGAGGAAATACTAAGAAGTGAATTTACCTTGATAAACAATGCCTTTCTTCAAGTGTATGAGTTAGCCTGCTCAAATAACTTCTACTAAGGGTGCTGTCTGACTGGGCCACCGTACTGACAACACTGGTATCCGCTGATTGCACTATGGGAACATCACAGTGGAATTTCTACATGTTCTTTGTTTTTAAAACATTGGCAGCCGGGCGCGGTGGCTCAAGCCTATAATCCCAGCACTTTGGGAGGCCGAGGCGGGTGGATCACGAGGTCAAGAGATCGAGACCATCCTGGTCAACATGGCGAAACCCCGTCTCTACTAAAAATACAAAAATTAGCTGGGCATGGTGGCGCGGCCTGTAATCCCAGCTACTTGGGAGGCTGAGGTAGGAGAATTGCTTGAACCCAGGAGGCAGAGGTTGCGGTGAGCCGAGATCACGCCATTGCACTCCAGCCTGGGTGACAAGAGCGAAACTCTGTCTCAAAAAAAAAAAATTGGCATTATTCTCTAAATTTCACTCCCAGAATGTTCATGCAGCCATGGTTACTTCTGCCTTTTTTCTTAATCTGATGGTTCAGAACTCCAAAAAAATACTAGCTTAAAGGAAAAAATAAAAATGACTTTTTTTTCAGATTAAGTATAAGAAACTATTTGGCCAATAGAATACTGTCCTTACTAAAATATAAGGAATTATTTGGCCAATAGAATACTGTCCTTACTAAAAAAAAAAGTTTATTCTGCTATAAAATTATTTGTTTTATCAAAAAGCTAAATTACCTTCTATTAGTCCTGCTGACATAAATACATACATTTGCATTAAAAATGTATGGTATTGATATCCAGACTCTGGACTATAGTGCTTGTGACAATTGAGGTTTACTCTACGGAAGCTTGGCTCTCCTTAACTGTACTCTTGAAACAGCTGCAACTGGAGGCTCCTTTTGCCAAGGCCAACATCAGACCTCCTCAAAGCCCAGGGAAGGCTATTTTTGGTGGGGGATTTTAGGATTTTGAACTTCTCTTGTCAATGTGCCAGAGCCCAAGTTTGTTGACCTTCAAGGCATATTATACAACCCACTTATTTTCCCAAGTATTTCCTTGACAGACAGTGGAATAAATTAGTTTTCTTTTAACTCTTTCAGTGTGGCAGAAGTTGAAGTTTTGCTTTTGAATGTTTACTCAAAGTTGGAGTCTGTGAGAAATGCACTTAAAAATCAAAGAAGGCTCCACAAGTCAATATTATCTAAATAAACAAGGTAGTGGTTCTTTGATTGCTACCGCACATTTTTGGAAATGTAGATTTCCAGTCACTCATGTTATGAATATTCCTATTATGTTTAGTTTTCTGATTCATAAAATTCTTTTACTTTTTTGTGTGTAATTAAGGGCACTAGTTCAATCCATCTAAGACTCCCCTGCAAAGCCAAATAGTATTTTTATCGTGGATCTAGATTACTGCATATGCAAGGATGCAACACTATACTCTATACTAATTAAACTATTACATACTATGGCTAGAGATACTACATATTATTTAGATAACATGTGCTGTGATATTCTGTGAAATACAAGAATGAAATATCATACTTAGATACTGAGTTCATAATGTCACTAGGCAACAGTTCTCAAAAAATTCATATATGTACGATGAGTTGCAGGGGACTTTATAATTTGAACTTTATCCAAATTTGTTTCATGTACTAAGTGAAAGTGATGAAAAAGGGAACCATGCGGAGACACACAGATGTGGACACATTCCATACAGAGTTTAAAATAATTTCCTTACCTATTTTAGTTGCACTGTAAATATTCTCAATGGGGAAAGCACCTCCTAAACTATAGAGTAGAACCTTCGCAAGTGCTGGGATCAGTTGCGTTGTCGTTACCAAGACATTTACGCAGTTACTCCTAAAATAGGGAGGAAATATACATATTTGTTTTCTAATACTAAATAACTTCTAATAGATTTAAAATTGTCACTGTGGTCTCTAAATTCCTTAATTAATGGTCCCTTTCAATATTCATCAGATATTGCCTATCAGCAGGCAGACACTCCTCAAATAATGGCAGATTATTATGAAGAATGCATAAACCCATGACTATACTGTGATGCTTAAAGTTCTACAAACTATTTTGTCAAAACAATAGGCTGCTAAAAGTCATACATAGGTAAATGTTACAGAATGAAAACATGGTAGAATAAAATGAAGCACAGACTTTTAAAGTTTAGAGATGTGATTTTGACATGAAATTTCATGACTTGCACTGTGTGATATTCAGAGTTGCATCTTGCTTTTTAAATTATAAACAGTGTATATACTCATAACAGGAACATTTGTAAAATACAAATAAGAAGTAAACAAAAGCATTAATTATTATTGAACCATTCAGAGACAACTGCTGTCTTCATTTTGTGCATTTACTTTAAGTGTTTCTGTTTGTATACAGATTTTGTTTTCCCGTATTCTACTTTATGTATTTAGATCATGAGCCTGTTTATATCTATTAACTATTTTTTCCCTCTCGCAACGAAACAATGTATAAAAACTACTTTATCATGTACATGTATCAGAAGTTTTTAAAGCTAAATTCAGTTGCTTAAGTGGCTTTTGATTTCTAAATATTATAGGTAATGCTATCTAAATATATTTCTACATCTTTGATTATTCTTAGATTATATTCATAGAATAATTAGGGTCAGAGGGCAACTTAATATTGCTAAGGGTTCTGATACATAATTCAACAAAGCATCTGTTTTTCTGACATTCCAGTCATTTTGTAAAAACTATTGGGTTGATGCAAAAGCAATTTTGGTTTTTGCCATTAAAAGTAATGGCAAAATTGCAATTATGCCAATACAATAATACATGTGGATAACTCAGCAAATTCCATAGCATGTAACTATTCAATGTATGTTGATTTCTTTTTCTGCTCCCTTCCTTGCTATATCTTTATTTATTTCTGAAAAATCACATATTCCTTTAGTTGCCTTAAAGCCACTTGTTTAATAATAATCTGTATTAATTATATAGAAATATATAATCCAATAATGTAATAATCTTCAACTTATATAAAAGACATATTTTAGAAATAACAAAAGCTATCAACCCCCTTCTCAGAATTGCACACTCCACTACAGTTTACACATAATGTCAGTGGCTTAGGGGTCCTCACACCCCAGCATCCCTGACCTCTGGTCTCTCTTGTCACCAATTACAGAGGACATGAAACAGCAAGTCCTATTTCAAACGGCCTTAACTGTTAGACATTTCCTCCTTATATACAGCCAGAATCTCCCTTGCAGGATTCCTACTCATTGGTCCTAGTTCTTTCCTTTACAGACACAGGGAGAAATGTAATTGATTTTCAGCCTAACATCTGAAACAGTTGAAATTAGTAATCTTGATCCACACATGACTCTTCTGACTAAGCTTGCTGGCTCCTCCTTCCATCTGTTTCTTTTCTGTGGTTTCCACAGTCCAAACTCCTGTGACTACCACACTTGACACAGGCTGCTTCAACCCTGCCACAACCCTCACTGGAATGTGGTGCCCAGAAGTGACAAACTAAGCTGCCATGGCTTCCCCAATCAGACATAGGAAGCTACTTCCCCTCTGCTCTCCATTTGGACTTTTTGCTATCCATGCAGCTCCTGCCTGTGCCACGAGGTCAGAGGCTGTGCAGGATGTGACAACTATTCATTTACAATCATGTTCTTAATATCATGTTCTTTTTTTTTGCCCTGTCAAGCTTTTTCTGCATTCTGATTCAATTAGTCCAAATAAATCTTTCTCTGAATGCTGTGTTCCCTATACATTTATTAAGCATATTGGTTTTGTTTTGTTTTGTTTTTTTCTTACAACTAGCAATTGTCATCTTATTCATTAATCTTTTCTTAGCTTTTAGGTTCAGGGGTACAAGTGTGGGTTGGTTACATAGGTTAACTTGTGTCATGGGAGTTTGTTGTACAGATTATTTCATCATCCAGGTATTAAGTCTAACATCCAATTTTTTTTTCCTGATCCTCTCCCTCCTCCCATCCTCTACCGTCTGAAAGGCCCCAGTGTGTGTTGTTCCCCTCTATGTGTCCACATGTTCTCATCATTTAGCCCCCACTTATAAGTGAGAACATGTGGCATTTGGTGGGAGTGTAAATTAGTTCAGCCATTGTGGAAGGCAGTGTGGCGATTCTTCAAATACCTAAAGACAAAACTGCTGTTTAACCAAGCAATCCTACTACTGGGTATATACCCAAAGGAATATAAATCATTTTACTATAAAGACACATGCACACACATGTTCACTGCAGCACTATTCACAATAGCAAAGACATAAAGTCAACCTAAATACCCATTAATGATATACTGGATAAAGAAAATGTGATGTGTATACACCATGGAATACTATGTAGCCATAAAAAAGAACAAGATCATGCCCTTTGCCAGGACATGGATGGAGCTGGAGGCCGTTATCCTTAGCAAACTAACACAGAAACAGAAAAGCAAATGCTGCACATTCTCATTAATCTTAATAGAAATGCTGACAGATTCTTTTTTTTTTTTTTTTTGAGATGGAGTCTCGCTGTTGTTACCCAGGCTGGAGTGCAATGGCGCGATCTCGGCTCACCACAACCTCCGCCTCCTGGGTTCAAGCAATTCTCCTGCCTCAGCCTCCCAAGTAGCTGGGACTACAGGCGTGCATCACCATGCCCAGTTAATTTTTGTATTTTTAGTAGAGACGGGGTTTCGCCTTGTTGACCAGGATGGTCTCAATCTCTTGACCTCGTGATCCACCTGCCTCGGCCTCCCAAAGTGCTGGGATTATAGGCGTGAGCCACCACGCCCGGCCAGATTCTTTTTTTAATATTTATTTTAGGTTCAGGGATGCATATGTATGTTTGTTATATAGGTAAACGTGTGTGACAAGGGTTTGCTATACAGATAATTTCATTACTCGGGTACTAAGTCTAGTACCTAACAGTTATTTTTTTCTGATCCTCCCCCTCCTCCCATGCTTCACCCCCAAGTAGGCCCCAGTGTCTGCTGTTTCCCTATATGTGTCGATGAGTTCTCATCATTTAGCTCCTACTTATTAAGCATGTTTTTATTTATTCACCTAACTCAGATATAATATCATGGAAATGAACAGTACAGAGATTCAACCCTACCTTACCAGAGTAGAGTTGTCTACCTTATCACTTTCTAGATTTACATTACTTTATAAATTAGCATATATGGCTCTTGGTTGTACAACTGGTTACAAATTGATTTAATTCTGTTCTCTATACTAACACAAGTCAGAATTTTATTGTTTAGTTCAAAAAACAAAATGGTTAGAATTTTTTCAAGAGCTTTCTCTTGCTTTTCTGATGTGCTTACGTTATACATATTATATATACATTATGTCCTAACACTGAAAACATGCATTTTTTGTATAAACAGTATTGTTTTATATTTGCCATCACCCCTTGTACCTTGCCATCTACAGAATCCCCTTTTTTCATTAGAAGTCATGTAACCATTCTGTGGGGATTGGCGGCTATGAGAAGAGATGGGTGGTGAGAGATAGGGTCTTCTGTTTATTGAGAAGCAGCAACCTTCTCCCATCCCAACACACACACACACACACACACACACACACACACACACTCTCTCTCTCTCTCTCTCTCTCTCTCTCTCTCTCTCTCTCTCTCTCTCTCTCTCTCTCTCTCTCTCTTTCTCTCTCTCTCTCATGCACATGCCAAATCACTGAACTCAGAATAGTTAGGTCCCTTAATATCTAAAACAATCTAGGAATTAAAACATTTTTTAATCTATGTTGTACAATTAGAACTAAATCTTCAATAGGATAAACATAGAAAGGTAACAATTCCACTTACCTAGTGCTAATAATTGATAAAGACTTAAGTGCATTTGTTAGCCAGGAATCTGTCAGACCTTCAATTTCTGCCCTTAACTGCAGCCAGGCATCCCTCTTGGCAGGGCCAAGGAGTCCTGCAACACCAAAAAGCAAGGCAGAGTCAAGAGATGAAAATTTTCTCAGAATAACTAGTTTAGAATCTCTTCTGTTTAGAATAGATCATTTTTATTTCAGTATATATCAGAAATGCAGAGAGATACAGATTTATGTCAATATTGACCCTTCATTTCTGAACTGATTATCCATTCATTCCTTCAATGAATATTTACTGAACTTCTAAGTATCAGGTAGTGACAGTGAAAAGTGACCCCCATCTCTGCCCTTGATGAACCTAGAATCTGGTGCAGTGGATCTCAATCACCTAAAGAGCTTTGACCATGCCCCTGCCTGGATCTCATTCCAAGGGACTGTGATAATTTGAGGTCTGGAGAAGTAGCTGGGCTCCACCAACCTAGGGACACAAACGCCAAACGCTTTGACTATCTGAAAACATTTAGTTTCTTAATAATTACAATCATTTCAACTTTCAAACACTAACAATGGCATCATCATATGTAGCTATTACAGTGTTTCTAATACTATTGCTAATGCTACTATAAATACTTTGTTATGTAAAAAGAAATTAAGAATTTTGTCTAAAATCTTGAAGTGTAGGACAGTTATAGACAATAATGAACTACAACATTGATGTTATAAGAAAAAATATAGATGTGCTAATTTTTTATTTTAAAAGATCCAATTCTTGCTTTTATGATAAAACAAGACCATATAAATCCATTCAAAAGGAAAGTTTCTTACTGAAATTGTGTTTCAGAATACTGGGAGCACATATACACTTCAATGATTTTTTTTCAATCAAAATTCATAGTTTCTAGCAAGTTTCATTTGTCCTCATTACAATAAAGATGCTCATATATGACAGAAAGTAGATTGGTGGTTGTTTAAAGTTTATAAGATACAAGATTATTTCTTAGTGTTCTTGTTAATTTAAAACAATTTTATTAATACCATGGAAGAAGGAAATGATGACATCTGATTGATAAAAATTAACTCAGATTTCCCAAGGGGACATTTATTTTAAAGTTAAACGTCTTATCCACCATTGGTTTTAACTAGAAAATATTTGATTTTACAAAAGCGTCATGTAGAGAGCACAGCAAGCTCTATGTGAATCAGGAAATCAGAGTTTCTCCTCTAGAACCCCATTCAACTCAGTAGCTTGCAGGGGTCAATTTATTATTTGGAAATATATATCTTCCTTATCTAAGCTCCCTTTTGGTGCTAACATTATTATCCTCTTTGGCTCCACATTTTTCTGTTGTCTTGGAGTTATTTAGTATCTATTGAGTATTATTATGTGTTTTACTACTAGGCACTGGGATAACAGGTGACCAGACACATAGCCCCACTCTCGTGATGTATATGGATATATGTGATTATAGGAACATAGCGTTTACTATGTCGTATTCTAGGATATATGTGTGAATACACGTATGTATAGTATGCACATGTATACTTAGCTGTATCATTCTATTTTGCATTCTAGTTTATGTTCCTCAATTACTCTTCCTTTTTAGAAAGAAAGAGAAGAACATAAAGAAACAAAATCCTAGGAGATTAATCTGATGTGACGTCATAGCGAATTTTAGGAATCTTGTTTACCTAAAATTGTTTCTAATAAGATATCATCTATCTAGAAGCATATGCAGGGTCACATTTTTGATATCAAAGGTTTGATATCTCCCTGTAAAATATAAGAAGGGGTATAAAATGGTTTAGATATTACCTACAGAGTATTTGAACTTTTACAAACTATGATAATCATAGTTGACACTATATATGAGAAAGACTGTCATAAAATGTGATTTTTTGAAAGATAAAATAAATCTATTTAAAGTCTTTGAAATGACATAAATAACTGTTTATATTTATTTATGACGGGATTCCAGAAAGATAATGCTCGCTAACAACTCTCCTTCAATGCTTGAGGCTCTCTTCTTGAGAAAGGTCTTCTCATTGCCTTGGTCCATTCCTCTGTCTAGTTTTCACTGATAATGTGCCAAGCACCAGCTGATAAAGGGTAAAGTAAATGCCCTGCTATAAATCCTGACCAAACATCTGGGCAGAAGGTTACACAAAGAATTCCCAATTCATGCGACAGTGGTGGATGTTTTACTTTGTAATTAAGTTTTTCCTCACCAATTCTAAGGAACTTCTGGCTCGATGTGGTTTAATGAGTTTTTGCTTGTTTCTTTTACAGCAGAATTGTCTTTAACATGAAACTACAGTTTGAATTCTACCTATATGCAGAGTGCCTTTGTTAGATTTAAAAAGCCACACATACCTCCAACATTGTTCTTGTAGGTGTTATATAATTCTTTTACTCTTCTGTAACGAAAAGCCAACTTCCTCATCCAGTCAACCCCTCCTCTTACACCTGTTGGCAAACAAAGGTTTGCACTACTTGCAGCTGCATGGAAGCCATCAGTTGCAAAACTGTAGGTACTGTAACACCCAAAATACATTAAAAAGAAATAATTACATGTGCAAAACTCCACAGCTGAATTTCTGTAGGAAACAGCACTGAAAGACATAGCTTACCTTAAGTCCTGCCCATTATCATCAGAGGAAACATCATCTATATGAACTTGATCACACTCCTGTTAAAAACATTGAAAAAGTTATTTGTTTTCCAAATGATGCTTTTTACCATGTTTGAAGATTTTCCCATCTTCTCATTTGATCAGACTACAGCCAGAAGATGGCAGCATGTTCCCATCCATCTCACTGCCTCACTCTTGTTTTCTTCTACTGGGGAATGGCACCATTTCTATTCCATAAAATTAAATCCAGAAGAATGCCATAGAAAGGGGTGAGAAAACACATGGCATGAGGGTTTCTTTAAAGCAACTAAAAATAATTTTATCTTAAAAATTATTGATAAGAATTTCTCTTGAATCTTCGTGATCACTTGAACTTCCTTCCAGCCATTTCTGTTGTGCATTCTTAAGCACAGGTAATTTGAAGATACACAAAACTTGTTTGGTCTGAACACCTCAGGTGGTTACTATTATTTATCATTTGCTGAGCAGCAACAGAGGGTCTTGCTTCAGATTACAGTGTCCTGTGAAATTTCCATGACTTCCTGCTGGATCAGAGCCATGAAAGAACCATGCTGGTGGTGTTAATTTTAAAGTCCTGGTCTTTTGACACATAAAAAGGGTACTAATCATAGACATTGACATTTTTTTGGTCAAGTTTTAAAATTTTCAAATCAAAAAGATTACTCTAAGTAAAAGGGAAATAATGAATATTTATCATCTCAAATGTGCTACAAAATTCCAAGCAAAATAAACTTTATGTAAGTATACCCACACAATTGACCTGATTTTAAGTTACTGTATGTTCAGAACAAATGCTAACTTTTCTAGATAAGGATTCAATCCTTGTTGCTGTTGTGAGTCTTAGTCAGTCTTCACGTAATCTGCAAAGTTCTAGTACAATATTACAAGACCTAAAGGTGAAATTTGGTGAGAGCATTTAAAATGCCTAGTTCTCAGAATAATAAATATAATAAATAAAAATAAAGTATTTATAATAAATAACCATATCATAGTAACCTCAGAATAAGTATGGTTTAACATCTTGGGCCTCCTTGGTCTCCCTCAAAGTATTTTACTCATACTCACAGATTCTGACTATAAACATAGTGCTTAGCTTTTAAAATTAATTTTTAAAAAGTCTTTAAATCTGAAAATACACCATACTAAACAAAGGTTTCTCAATTAGTATTTACATTCATTATTAAGCTTGAAAGTATCTGGCAGTCAAATATTTAATATCTAGTCTCCAGATTTCTACACAGAAAACATTTAATCCTGTTCCCCTTTAAAGGTGGTAGAGCTGACTCAGGCTTCCTTTAAAATGTAAAACTCAGCCGGGCGCGGTGGCTCACGCCTGTAATCCCAGCCCTTTGGGAGGCCGAGGCGGTGGATCACGAGGTCAAGAGATCGAGACCATCCTGGTCAACATGGTGAAACCCCGTCTCTACTAAAAATACAAAAAATTAGCTGGGCACGGTGACGTGTGCCTGTAATCCCAGCTACTCAGGAGGCTGAGGCAGGAGAATTGCCTGAACCCAGGAGGCGGAGGTTGCGGTGAGCCAAGATCGCGACATTGCACTCCAGCCTGGGTAACAAGAGCGAAACTCCGTCTCAAAAAAAGAGAAAAAAAAAAAAAAAAAACAACTCAGGGCCGGCACGGTGGCTCACGCCTGTAATCTTAGCACTTTGGGAGGCCAAGGCGGGCGGATCACTTGTTCAAGACCAGCCTGATCAACATGGAGAAACCCCATCTCCACTAAAAATACAAAAGTTAGCCAGGCGTGGTGGCGCATGCCTGTAATCTCAGCTACTCGGGATGCTGAGGCAGGAGAATCACTTAAACCCGGAAGGCGGAGGTTGCGGTGAGCCGAGATTATGCCATTGCACTCCAGCCTGGACAAGAAGAGTGAAACTCTATCTCAAAAACAAAAGAAAACAACAACAAAAAAACTTAGTGACTAGTACCTTTTGGGTATGTAACTTGAAAATCCAGGTAAGTTAAAAGTTCATATAATTTACAGAAATTATAGGTTTAGTAAGTTTTGAATAAATCTCCACCTACATGTAAGGGACCCAGAATTTAATCTGACTGGATGTGCCCTGGAGTGTGGCATTTGGTTCATCAGGTTATATTCCTACTTAAGGAACATCTGGCATAGAATAATCACTCCACAATTCTTAAATAAATGGGAGAACACTAGACAAATGCTAATTCTTTATAGGATTACACAATCATTTAAATTTTCTAACACAATGTTATGATGATATAAAATAAAAACATTCTAAATGAGTAAGGAGAGTAAAAAGATATTTATATCAAGAGTGGAGGGGAGGGAGAGAGAAGAGTGCAGAGACTGCCCAAGGCATGGCCTGGTAGATAGGTATTTAGAAAATGTCTTCCCCTCTTTGACTGAGTTGGCTGAAAGGAGTGCAGTCCAAACTGTAACCAAAGGCAGCATGATGCTCCCTGCAAACAGCCAGTAAACGTATGGCAAGCAAGGACAGTAACTGCTGGACTGGGCTTTTAGAAAAAGAGTGGAGAGATTTTACCAGTTAGCATAAAAGTTGGAAATAAAGTTTCTCTCCCAGAATACGGAGGCACAGAAGTAGTTACAAATGATGGAACTATTTCTTAATTAGAGATGATGACATACTGGGTAAGTCCGTAGACTGAAATAAATCACTATTAAAATATTGCACAAAGTTGCCCATTTCACTGAAGTTCTGAAATCTTTCCTCATGTAAATAATTTCTGTGTCTCTCTTTTATACTAAATGAATTATGTTTTTAAAAGAGGGGGAATCCTTGTAAATTTCCCTGGTAATCAGAAGTTATTTCTATATTTAATATCCTCTCATTGTAATTTTTAGAGAAATTCTTCTGACATTAAAAATTAACTCACATGATCAATTTGTACATACATTGTCCAAAAATTTACCTTTTACTCCTGAGGACAACAGTATATCACACTTATTGGACCATAAACTCCACCTTTGAAATTATGTTTGAAGTTTTTCCAAATTTAGCTTCTCTTTAAATTTATGCCTAGTCAACTATGCCTGTTGACTTTGGACGCTTGCTGGAGGATTATAGTCCAGTGAAAGAAGCCTGAACTTCCATTATTTACATTTTTAGAAAAAGCTAAATAATTGTTCTTCAATTATTTTTCACTCTGAGGAACTTTGTAAGAATCATTTTGACCAAAAAGTAAAATACTGAAAAACATTGTAATGTTTTGGCTTTAACAAATTTTAGTAGAACTCACGTATTTGAAAATATTCTAGAGTTAACCTTAAATACTTTAATTTTGTCTTACACGGTGACCAGAAAGTTGTCACTGATATTTATCAGTTTTTATTCACAGCAGTCTTTTCTCACTTTTGCCATCTCAAACTTCCTAGAGATTTCTTTGCTGGAGGTTATTCTAACTGAAATAGCATTTATTTTTTAAGCACACAGGATTCTCTTCTGTGTGGGGAGGGAGATTGAGCATTTGTCTTCTCTGCAGTTGGGCGGGATGCAGTAAAATGTCTATTAGGAGGATTTAAATTTGTATCTTTAAAGGAATTATGTAAGGAGCAGCTGCTACTATATATGTTGCAGTATCTACTTAAAAATATGAGTGTCAAATTAGATGTATAGATTTTTTTAAAAAAGCACTCTGAGAGCTTAAATATTCAACAACAACAATGACACTAATAAGTTAATGACAGAGTTACTCTCTTGAATAATTCTTTTTGTCAATAGGAGTAGAAATCATTTAATTCTAGTTATGGAGCCCAAGAAAATTTTTGGTTTTAAGAGGTTTATTGAAATAAAAAATTGTGTGAAATTAAAGCTGCCTTTCAAAGTCAAATGCAGAAGGATAGGGGACTATGATAACTACTGAATGCTTTTTGAAAGCTTTTGTTTTGATTTTATTAGTTTTAGTTCTTGTTTACTCAAGTCAGAAATAAACGTTTGTGTTTCCTTAGGTACTTCATCCGGTCATGCAAGCATCTTTGTTTCATGCATGTATAGTGAGAGTTCAGTCAAATAACTGAACTCAATTATTTTATTTATTAAGTGCAGTATTGTTGAATAGCTAAGTTCTAGGGTTTGGGTCAAATGAAATTCTTATCACATTCTAAAACACAATTAAAGAGCTGTCTACTCAGAGAAGAGAAAGTCAATACCAGTATTTTCTCAGGAACAACTTCCACCAAAGATCCTGCCAGATATTTTTGAAATATGTGTAACATAGAACCTGAACTAAAATAAAAGTCTTTAAGTACCATACATGACTAAACATGTTTTTGATATATCAATATTCATTTCAAACTTGCTAAAATTAGTTACAAATTCATTATATGCTACTTTCACCTTCTCACTTCAGCGTTTGTTTAAAAGTTGGGTAGTAAATTTATTTCATCTGGCTTCCAATGTGCCACTAAAAAAAGCGAAAAGTTCATTTATTCCACTTATTTCTAGTAAAAAAAATAATTAACCAAACGAACTAAGCATTACAAAAGTTGTATACAACCACATAAAATTTCTTTTCTCTTTTTACATCTTTGAAAGGACTAATAATCTTAGGCTTCTCTTTAGAATAAAATTCATCCATACTGATTACCAGAAAAACTAACCCCAAAAGTTATCACTGTATGTTAAAAATTCAAGTTCTGGAAAGATTAAATGTGTTTGTTATTATCAGGTATACATAAAATCATTCTGTATTAATATGTAGCAGGACCAATTTAAGTCAGGTTTTAGAGAGGTGATTATTATTTGTTATGTAAAACTGGAAACCTTGGCTAGTAATACTGATCTTTCATACTGTCCACTGTAGAATAAAAAAGAATGCCTCTTTAAACAGATAGTAATTGTATTATTCAGTAAAAACACTGACTCGCTGTATAGTAAAACAAAAACAACAGCAAAATGCTTTTACACAGATTTTCAGCACACACATTGATGGGATGTACTGAACCACCCATTTTTATTCTCATGTCTCAAATGTAACTAAAACTGGATTTAAGACCTTGTCACTAAAAAAAAAAAAAAACTTATTTAAGTCACTCAGTAACATGGCTTTTCTTTCTCACACACTTGAAAATTTTCAGCATAGGATGGTTCAGAAGTATGTGCTTTGGAGCCAGGCAAATCTGCTTCAAATTCCAGTCTACCATTTAGATAGCAGGTAACTTTGGATGTGATTTGAATGCTGTGGACTGCACAGTTTCTCCCCTGCATAAATAATATGATAAACACATTTACTTCAACCCATTGTTAAGTAATTAATGGAAAGTCCAACATAAAATATGTTGAACAAGGTAAGAGTTCAGTAGTATAATCTTCCTCTCAATTTGTAATATTATTACAGATGGAAACTTTTATTTCATTGTGAAACTAAGAGATAAAAAATCAATTTAAACATGTCATCTGAAAAAAATGAAAGGGAAATTTGTATTTTAGCATGGTTATGCTTGACTGAGAAGTACTTCTGTCAAGAACCTGAACTACTTGGTTATTTCAAATTCTACCATCTGAATGTCTAATAACCTAGGTCATTAGCACACAGATGGCATCACTTATTGGAGTACACATTCAACAACTCTGAGGCCATTCTTCCTTGAGCTCTTTCATTTTGCTGTTGTTTTTATTTTCTCTTCCTTTTATTTGCCATTTAGATACTGTCTTGCCATTTGAGATTGAAAATGGAAACATAAATTTAAAAATGAAAAAATAAATGTGCTTAAATAGTTCTAGCACTGTTTTATCCAGAAGGGAAAGAAATGGGGAATGATAATGTTATCTGAAGTTTGGCTTCAGATTATCCATAAAATTTAATGATCCATGCTATCACCATGAACAGTGCTTGTGAATATTGTTTAGGGATTAACCTAAATAGGTTCCTGGTTAATAATCTGGAAGAGCTAATGCTGATTCCAAAGGTGCCACGGGGGTTGTGTCTGAAAGAACCAAGTCATGTACAGCTGTGGACAGTAAGGACAGCAAAGCTAACAATCTCCTCTTCAAAGATATTTTTGTTCTACATATGTATTATTCATGAACACAAATTAACTTTCTGCTTATATTTGTATATACAATTTTTCCTCTTGATAAGAACCTTATGCTCCTCTTTAGCTAAATTTTTATCTTTCTGTTTTTTGAGATTATCTGCAGATACAGAAACCATCTAAGAGGTCTGGTGTTGGACACAATTATTCGTAACTTGTAAAATTCTTACCTCTAAATCATTAAAAAACAAATGAGTATCAGCAAGATTAAAAATCATTTCTTCCATGCGGAGTCCAAGGGTTACAGCCATGGGGGGATCCTGTAAAGAAAATGTACACATAATGAGGTACAATTTCAGTAAACACACTTATTATTAAAAATATTTTAAGCACATACTGCTGTGGTGGAAGAGGGAGGAGACTCCATGGGTTTTTACTGAAGATTCAAAAAATTTATCAGTTATCCAAAAAGGTGACTTTCCAGAAATTTCACACGTACCAAATGCACAGACACACCTGGCAATTTAGACATACGTAAAGATGACTCAGCATACTTTTTCAAGTGAAGCTGTATGTTTAGGAGAGAGGGAGGAAGGGAGCCAGCTAGTTCATATGACCCAGTTTATGTATAATCTATGGAAGGTCGTCTGGAGAAAGATATTTGGATGGGGTGCTGAAGAATGGAGCAAACTTCTAAAAAGAAGAAAGGATGTCTTTTTTAAGAACAATTAAAAGTAATGGGAATTAAAAGATAGAGAAAAATAGGTCAACTGGGTATGTGTAGGACTTGAGAATGTTATTTGGTGGTGGAACAGGAAGAGCTGGCAGAGGATGGTGCAACCACCACTTAATTTTTAATTGCATTTTTATCAACAGGGTAAGAGGAATCTCCCTAACTAAACATATGTAGAGTTTGGCCTAATCTGCACTTGAGTAAGGCTGAAGAAGGGAAGGGCGAGAATAGCTAAAAGAACATTAGTTCTGTAAGTGTAATCCAGGTAGAAAATATATGCTTCGGGAAGTTTAATGAAGGTGAAGGGGTCAGTAAAGAGTTAAAATGACTCAATTTTTGTTTACAGAAACCATGATATTTAACAGCAGCGAGGAGTTGAAAATTAATACCAGAGTTGTTACTTTACCATAATTAACTGCAGCTGAAGGTCTGGCATCAAGAGATATAAGACTAAAAGGTAAGGAGCATTTAGGGATAGGGACTGGAAGAGGGAAATAATTTATGCTCAAACACTGTATTTAAAATTATCAAAGTTGGAACAACATCTAAAGAAAAACTGCTAATAGGTGCAACTCTGAAGATATGCAAAAGAAAAAACCTGGAAGGGACAAACCCTTAGAATTTAAGACCAGATGGGTGTTAGCAGGGAGAAGAATAAGGTTTTGAATAAAGCTGACAAGTCTAGAAGGATACTATTGGTTTTGGCTGAGAAGTTATTTTGGAAGACCTCAGAGGGTGATTTGGGTTGAGTGGCTGGGCCAGGAGCCAGACTGCAGGGATTTGAGAAAAGAGAAGTGAAATTGTGTTTTTAACATTCTAATAAACGGCATTTCAAGAAATGTATCTAAACTTGGGGAAATGTGACGCTAACTTTACTCAATTTATGATAAGAACATGCAACCCAGGTCAGGACAAGCAGTATCCATCTACACTCTGAACTGATTCCATTTGCAAGGAGAAACCACTCTTCATTCCACACCTCCACTACCATAACCCATTTTATTCCTGTATTTCCTTTCATCATGCTTTGAGGGGGAAGCCCTAAAATGTAAACACATTTGAGATGTTATCCTGTGTTCTGTAGCCATTAAAACCTGGAGAATAGGAATTATATGCTAAGGAAAAGGGATTGAGTGCTAAGGCATCATTGAGGTATGAGAGCTAAACTAAGACTTGATATGAGGGAAGCAGAGATAAGATGATAATGCGTTGGATTTCAGCATACTTTTCTAATTGTTTACATCTCCCCATTTGGAGATTTATATGAATTTCATAGCCAGAGATTCTCATTTTTCAGAAATGGATGCTGACTCTTCATATACTTGATGGCATCCTGGTATTTTGTCATCCAGTGGCTTGACTGTGCTGCTAGATTCATCTGTCTTCCAGAGACAGAACCATATGGAACCATATACCCAAAGATCAAATCAGTTCTGTTTTACCCAACAAACACTCATTCAAAACAAGAATAAAATTATGGATAAGTAGGCTGGGTACAGTGGCTCACCCCTGTAATCCCAGCACTTTGGGAGGCTGAGGTAGGCAGATCGTTTGAAGTCAGGAGTTTGAGACCAGCCTGGCCAACACAGTAAAACTCCATTTCTACTAAAAATATAAAAATTAGCTAGACATAGGGTGTGTGCCAATAATACCTGCTACTCAGGATGCTGAGGCAGGAGAATCGCTTGAACCCAGGAGACGGAGGTTGCAGTGAGCCAAGATCATGCCACTGAAGTCCAGCCTGGGTAACAGTAAAACTGTACCTCAAAAACATTATATATATATATTTTTTAAATAAATATTTGTATATTTATATTTTCATGTATTATAAATATGTAAATTTAGATATATTTTTTTTTCATGTGTGTGTCAGACTGTGTCTCAATGGATTTCAGAGTTCGAAGGATCCCTTGCTCTGTTTCCTTCAAGTATAAAATTCTTTTTTCTTCTTTTTTTTTTTGTTGATCATACTTTTGTTGAAATAAAAGCTCTAAAGTTTGTGTAAATTGAAAAAATACATTTTGTCTTTTTTGGTTCAAAAACTCCTATTACTAGTCTCTATCTTTTTGGTAGGGTTGTGGGGACCTAGGCATTAAATGGGTTGAAGACATTCTGTGAAACTATTCTGCCTAGTCATGGAACCATGAACGAATTCTACAGAAATATCAGGAAAAATCAAATGTAATTATAGCATGAAAACATATAATTCCATTAGTGACGCTTTATGCTTTTGAGGAATGCTCACTGATGCAAGACATTAAAACTGAGCTCCACACTACTCTGTTATGTTTCTGATGATTACTGCCCTAAAGATAGATATTTCAGATAGGAGTTCAGTTCAGAAAAATCTGATTTAAAAGGTTTTCCTTCTGGGGACCAGGTTGGTTAGGCTCTTATCCTACAATTTGCCAATTTTTCTTTTTAAGTTTTAAATACAATTATTTAATTTCTTATATTCATTCTTCACATTCTTTGCATTTACAGATCAGATTTATGGGGACGGGAGAAAACATACTGTTCCTTTTGATTGTTACTTTGATCAATTCCATGCTTCTGAAGTACGTAACTCTCTGTGCTACTCAAACAGTGATAGGAAAATCCATGAAGAATGCATTTTGTACATCTGATAAGCATGCAAACAAGGATAATTAAAAAAAAAAACAAAAAACAAAATGCAAGCATCTGCTAGCAAGCAAGCATGGTATGTGGTGTGATAAAAACTGCAGTCGGGCACTCCACTGGAATGCAACCCCACGGCACTGGGAGGGCTGGTCATTTGTTTTTCAAGCTGTGGTGATTCCACATCACACACTCTATGAGAGCCAGGACTTAGTAAGCATTTTGGCAAAATATCATTTGTAACTGGGAAAGTTTAGGTTTGCGGTTTGCTGGAGTGTGAACTAGCTGTATTTTACTAAGGTTTCCAGAGAGCAAGGCCTGTTGAAAGAGAGATGTTTCGTCAGCCATGCCAAAGGCTTGGCACAGATGGGCTAGGGATAGTCATGCCATAAGCCAAGGAAAACCATGTCTGTAAGAGGTGGTGATCTTGTTTCTAAGAGAATGTCTGGGGAGGGATTACTTTCAAATATCTCATTTTATTTTTTGTTTTTTTCCAGCTTACTAAGTCACTGGGACAGCTAATTCTAAGTGAACAGATTATAGCACTGCATTTTCCCAGCTAAAAGACTCACAGATCTAAGAATCCAAGAAAGATGACTGGACATTTGGTGGGTGTAGCCTTAGCAATGTCTCTGTATGCTGGGCACCCTCCATCTTGCCAAATTGCTGTGAAGGAGCTGCCAGCGCCTGCAATTCCGCTGTTTTATCAGGCATTTGAGAATGAAACACACATCTGGATTGAACCCAAGTTTTATACAGAGATGTTTGCTCATTTTCATTGGATGTTTGTAGAATTATGGGCACCTTATGAATCAAGAGCTCCTTTTTTTTTGCATTTAACTGTAGTGAGTGTTGAGTTTAGGGTCTAAAATGAAGTGATAGCAAAAACTTGGATATGGGAAAAAATTGGGATAATAAAGGCACTAACAGGGTTTTGTGGAAGCTCTGATATATATTATACATATTATAACAGTTCCAAAACGTTCAAAGTATCTACAACAGAGTTTAATAGGGGGCAAATTGAACTATTGCCAATTTATTCTGTGTACTGTTCTATCAAAATACTGAAACTATTCCCCAGACATTTTACTGAATACAGAGAGTGAGACAGAGAGAGAGAGAGAGAGAGAGAGAGAGAAGGAGGAAGATGAAGAAAATAAATAGCTCTTGGCCTTTAAATGTGTGGTTCTAAGCCAGATGTTACCAGTGTATAACCAAGACAGGATCAAGCACAGCACTTCTCTAAATCAAAATACTAACGCCTATTAGCCATGTGAACATACAGTATAAATTGGAGCCAGACTGTCTGTCTATGGGCCTCTGCCCTGCATTGGGCCATCAGCTGGAATTCCTCCTCTAGGGACACACTGTAAAAATATCTCTGGAGAGGCAACAATTATGTATTTTTAAAGAAACTAAGGACTTTTTTTAAAAGACATCAAGCTCTTGGAACAGTTAGTCCTTTGGGACCCGTAGCACATGTGCAGACGTGTGCGCAGAAAGATGGAAGAGATGTGAGTTTATCACGGAAGAAAGAAGACAGAGCAGCTCCATGAACCAAGGTGGAAAAAGTTACTGGACTTTTCAGAAAACATATACCCTTTAAATCATAAGAGATAAAATGAAATTCAGTCACATATCAGAAGGGAAATTTCACAATTGTGATACTAGTCTATGATGACTAGGTAGCAGGCTTACAAGTTCTTAGGAGGAACTGGAGAATGGTTTCAGGAACATTCATTTATTCATCACGTATCTATTAAGTGTCTATTATGTATTAGACATGTTCAAATTCCAAGCAGAAAGCAGGTAACCAAAAAAGCAAAGCTCCTACCCTTATGGGGTTTATATTATTACTGGATAAGCTATCTGATAAACAAACAGGAAAAGAAGGGAATATAAGCATTTCAGGATGTGATAAAGCTATGGCAGAAAAACCAGGATAAGCAGATACAGAAGTGATGGGGA